TAATAATATATAACTCTTTTCAATGCAGGGTACTAAGTGATGGAGAAAATCACTTTGCCCCCGTAAGAATTCGTAGGGACAGATCGATGTTTACCTTCTTCTCGCAGCCTCCTCTCCTCCTCCGCCTGCTTCTTCCCCTTCTTCGCCTTGGACTGTTTCTGGACCTTTTTAGATGACTTCAGATTTTTACGTGTCATTAATAAGACACGAATTCAAACCACGAGGTTCGAGGTAAAGTTAGTTAGTGTGAAAATAGAGGAGAGAAAAAGGGAGAATTTAAAATTAAAGGTACCGTCTGCTAACTGACCTGCTAGCTTACAGTTAAAGGTTTCTTTTTAGCCTTATATTTTATTTCTGTAACTATTATCTCTAATCAGCATTCAAACCTGCAGCTTAAACAAATCTAATAATAATAATAAGGATTAATTTGTCGGATTTAAACGCTGGAAAACTCACCATCCCGAGGCTGAAACTGTCTGGGTAACCATAGCAACGTGTACCCATGCGCATGCGCGGTGTTGTATTTTTAATTTGCGACACAAAGAAACGACTTACGACTGAGCTGTCCATCGCCTGTAGAGAAAGGAAGGACACAGAGGAAGAGGAGACGTGTCTCCATTGAAGCCAGAGTGAAACCAGCTTGCTAACACAGCACGTGTAAATATGATCGCATTGTATGATATGGCCGTGTGTAGAGCTGGTGAGGGGTGTGGTGAACGCTAACCCACAAGCTAACTATCTGGTTAAGCTAAGCTAATTGTGTTGACTGGCTTTGTCCACTCACGTCCGCTGCTGTTCTAATCTAATATCTTTATTATCGTCTTGTTTCAGCAGAGGGACACCCTCCTCGTCTCTGACATGGCCAACCCTCTGAGGGGTGAGGTCATTAAGCTGTACAAATGTGTAAGTGACACAAACACACGTGGGTTGTCTGTCCATGTGTGATCCTGGACACTGGGCTGAAGTTACAGGCTCCACCAGCCAAGAAGAGAAATGTACACAGAAGAGAAATACGATAACTAGTAATGATCTTGTTCTACAGTAGAAAGATGTTTACAATACAGGTTGACTTTTGTGTTTATATCGTACTTTGCATTGATCCTCACAAAGGATATACACAAAAATATACACCCTTCACATTGACTGACAGATCCTTTAACACAAAATTTAGTATATTTTCAAATTGTACCCCACCCCTAACGCCCACAGTCCATCAAACAATCAACAGAATACAAGTATTGCATGCTTTTTTACTATAACTTACTTTTTGACTGCCCTCTTGCTACTGTATATTCTGTGTATATTGGTGATGATGTGTAACTATGTATTTGTCATCCCCCCTTAAAGCTGCTGTATCTTGGCCGAGAGTACCCCAAGGGATCTGCGTATTTCAGGGATCGCCTGAAGTCAGCCTTCATGAAGAACAAAGATGTGACAGATCCCGAGGAGATCAGAAAACTTGTGGCCCGGGGGGATTTTGTCATCAAGGAGCTCGAAGCACTTTATTTCCTCAGAAAATACAGAACCATGAAGAAGAGGTATTATGACCCAGAAAAATAATTACACACAACTACAGCTTCGTATTGTCTCTCTGAAATGAAATGCAGGCAACGGGCACAGATAACAAACTCGCAAAAAATTAAATAAACTACACTTGCCTCATAAGGGAAAAGTAGGAAATAAGGGGAGAGTGCCAGCCGATGATGATAATGTAGCTGTTACAGAACAGGTTTTGAGTCTTTATACACAAATTGCACCTTAATACTTATATTTTAAAACTCAAATATTGTATTTATAATGATTTCACTGCTTGTGTTTTTTAAGTATATGTTAACTGAACATTTCAACAGGTCAAAGATTTCATTATCTATCTTAACATCACATTTGAATCACGGTTATTGTTAATAAGTTTAACACAGACATCCACCTGGTCTGTGAGAAACTGTTGAAGCCAAAGTGTTAAATGTATATTGTATTTGAGTGTATATATATATATATATATATGTAAATACATGGTCAAATTTCTTGAAGAATGTACATGGCTATGTATCTAGGTACTATTTTTCAGAAATGTAAAGATGTTTGAAAAATAGTGACGGCCTCTGTCTTGCTGAATGTTAATAAATTACAGCAGTTTTCTTCAGTAATTTAACTCATTTTCGTTTCTTGTATGAATTTATAGCATAGGGACAGGGAGATGGGCAGAGCTGTCAGAGTGTGGCCCTTAGTAAGAGACTCCCTGGAGCTTCTCTGGCCCAGGTTCACCCAGGCATAGTGTCTCCGTCAGTAAGAGAGCAAACACCACATACCCCGCTGGAGCCAGCCTCCAGAGGCCCCTGAACATTTTGATGGAAGTCAGACCAAGACTTAACATAAACCTTTTCACAAAGGGAAACTTAACTCTCCCACAGAACAGAATATGTGTTTGCATCTTTGTTTTAGCTCAGACAGGTTCCTCTCAAGTATTAGGAACATGTGCAGATGCAAAGACAATGTAGAAGATTTGTCTTTCATGAGATAATGGTACATTTTCCAAAGTCCATCTCAGTGTCATTGAAAGCTGGATTTGTGTTGCCAGATTTGTCCTCTCCGTTCATCGTCAGGTCCAGCTTTCCTGTTTTTTCTCATAGCCTAAAAAGGGAAGAGCACACACAAGGAGTCAGCAGCTGTTGTGACTCTAAAGGTTTTGATATTGTTTTCCTGATACAGCACTTACTCTGGCTCTGAAAAACCTGAATATGTGATAGAGAGTCGTGTCCTCTTTCGTTATCATCAGCCTTGATTCCACCCTCTGCTTGCAGCCTCCTGAAATGTACATTGTGAACAAGAGGGTCATCACAACAGGATCTCAATTCCAAACCCATTTAACTTAATCAGTGCCAACAGGATACATTTGCTTACCTGTTAAGAGGCTGATGAACAGTCCTACAGTGATTGCTGTTACAGTTCCAATGAGAGTGAAGTAAAGGTAGGAAGGAGGGAGCCAGCTTTCTGCCGACAGTCTAGTGATGGTAGAAAACAGTGGTGAACTATTGCTCATACATTTCCATTCATATATATTTTGAACAGTTTCAGCCCCAGGAGAGATTCGCTAGATGATAACAGGGATTTATTCAGGGTTAGGTTAGCAATGGAATACTTTCAACAGCTTGACATAAACCAGATCAATTTAGTTAAATAAGAGTTTCTCAAACTCTTATGGTTCATTTGGGTTTCTGTCAAGTAGTGTTCTATATGTTTAAAAATGATTTATTGTTGCTATGTTGAACATGATGTGTTCTCTTGTTAACATTTGAGTGGTAAGCAGTGCTCAACTGAGAGAGGGACCATCGAATGTATGTTTAAAGTGTTTTCCAGAAGGTTTAGTAGATGTTCAGATATCTCAAAGGGGAAAATTTTACATTTCTGTGGCACTACAGGCAAAGTCAGTTTACTATTCTTCTTCTGGGGAGCATGAATATCTGTGCAAGAGAGTTAAGCTTATATCTATAAACACTGTCTTATTTTTTGTGGGGAAAGTTAAATGTTACAAGAATGTGAAACCAGCAGAACAGTTCATTCCATCTGGTTTCACACATGGTTGCTCTCTTGCTCTCAAAATAACTTTATAATTCAACCATTCAGTCCCAGCTGGTTACATTCTTACATATCATCAGTGTTGTGCACTGCGGCTGTCGTGATGGTGCTTGGCCCTGCTGGCAGAGTAGTTGAGGTCCAGTTGTAGTTGTCTTCAGTGGTGAAGTTACAGCCTTTCGTGGTTAGTGGCAGAGGTCGGGTCATGTCAGGAGGAGAGGGGAATATCAGGGCCCAGATGCACACACCCACAGCCATGAGCAACCCAGTCATCAGACCAGACAAACCTCCCTACAGGAAGAACAGAGGATGTATAATTATGAAACTCCCCTTGGTGATAAATTGAATATAAGACATCAGTATTCATACAACCATGCAGGATTTATAAAGATGATGGCAAGTGAGCAACAGCTAAAATGTACTTTAAAGTACCAAACCTTTTCTGGTTATTGTTTCCTAGCTGCTTAGATAGGATTCTTATACATCATTGTTCACTTGAATCCCAAAATGAGCAGCAGACGATAGTAGAGGTAAAGTAAGAGAAAAACATTATTTATGTGCAATTCTGGATTAATCATTTTATTTAATACTGACATAAGTTAAAAGAATCATGCTCGAAAATGCCAATGTTACACTTAAAAAAAGACTTACTTTGGAATTGGCAAATGGGCAGAAGATACCCAGTATGAACAGGCCAAGTAAGGGACCTCCAAGGACACCAGAGACAGTGACAGATGCCTGATTCAAGAAACACACATCCACAGCACTCCCTCAAAAACACAATATGGAGATGGTGACCCCAGCACCTGACCCACAGCTAAGTAATTGATTGTGCATTAACAGATACACTCTACCTGCATAATCCCTCCCATGATTGAGGCCAGTGCAGCCATGGCGATGCACAAAACTCCATAGAAGAAACCTGCAAACAACATTGTGTCAGTCGATCCTCCACAATTAGGATTTAACAAGTTAAAGCATAAGACATACCAGGGCTCAGACAAATAGATCAGCTGACATTTAGCATATTGTAAACAAGGACAATCCACTTACTCATTCCTTTGGACATCCAGGTCAGATGTTTCTCAGACATGTTCGTGTACGGCTTGACCAGGTCCTCAATTGTCACTGTAGCCAGTGCATTGATGCTGGAGGACACTGTGCTGGGATTGACATGAGAACAGAATCATAATAAGGCAGGAACCATCACACTGATACAGGTTTTTAATGACCAGTGTCACAGGACATGTAATAATTAATGTCTGAGTGGGATTTAAGGATTTAAGAAGACAAAATATAAACCTTAAAGAGCCACTATATACTGCTGCGAAAAATAGTCCTGGAAGACCAGGAAAGCCTGTGAAGATGTCCATCACCAAATGTGCCATCAGCTGTAGAGAAGGGACGACAGAAGTTGATGTATATGATATGGAATTCATGGAAGCCTCTGAATATAAGAAACATAAGAAAAGGTGGTACTCTAGTTGCCACTCTACCCTACTGCTTTCAGAGCTGTAATCAGACGTGCACTGAACATTTTCCTGAAATGTTCCAGGTGGGTGAATGGGCCTAACTTTTCCTAGCAACCCAACTTTGGAGAGGTCAAGTCTGAAAACAGCTTAGGTTTCTAGTTCCTTTTCTCATCAATGTGTGTGTGTTTGTACCTGATCAGGATTAGAGACCAGTCCAGCGCTCCATGGGTCACAGTTCTTATAGAATGAGTAGAGGCACATTCCTGATAACACTGAGCAGCCCAGGAAGAAACACAAACCTATCAGGTTGATGTACACAGCTCTGGGAAAGGAAAGAAACACAACAGCGCAGCCATGGGGTGGAATTCATGAAGAAAATATATAAAGCACAGCAAGCAACTTAAACATCATCTATATGCTGACTTGTGTTCATCAAAAGGTTATCTTTATTAGAGGGACCTTGAATATTGAGTTTTAAATCCCCTTTAATGGGGAGTAACAGTGTTATTATGAATCCAGTGTCTCAGTAAGTTCTCCTCTGTTAAGTGTGACTCACACTCTGGCATGAGTGATGCTCTTGCAGGAGATGTATCTCTGAACCTGGGCTTGGTTTATCCCATTGACTGCGATCCAGGCAGCCCCCCCTCCAATAGTCATAGTCCAAAAAGTGTGTCTCCTCATAGGGTTCAAGTCAAAGCTGGTGAGACACAGTGAGAGGGTGATTTCCAATTCACTAAAAACCTGAAGATAACTGAAGGGAAGTGTCACGAAATGTGCGACACAAAAGGTTTGAGTAAAACTGCTCTCCTTCTTGCATCAGAAAATGACCTATCGAATAGTTTTTCAATACTCACTCCAGAATGTTGATTCTCCCTCCTTGTTGTGAATCTGAAATGATGGTGGCAACTCCTCCTTGTAAGATCATACACTTGATAATAACAGACAGATAACCTGCCATCATTATTCCAACCTAGAAGGAAAAAAATATATTTTTGTTTGGTTAGCAATTCAAATCTGGTTTTGGATCTAATTTGTGATCTAACTATACCAATCTGATTTGAGATTTGGTTGTAATTTGGCTGATTTGTAATGCCGTTTTCAGTACTGCATTTCTTTTTTTGTCTTTCTCTGTAAAGTGTACAGTGCATTTGTCTCGCAGTGGAGCGTCCAGGAGTCTACCCTGTGAACTCCACTTAAAAATCACTACTCAGCTGTTGTACAAAGATTTTTTTAACCCTTACCTGAAATACATCAGTCCACACCACCGCCTTCAGTCCACCCTGTTATAAAGTAGACCGCAAAAAGATGTTGTCTGAGTAAATCCACTAAAATCCAGATATCCATCATAAATGTTAAGCACATCAACCAATCAGGAGAGCTCTCTGTCTGAGCTATTTGGGCTTACAGCTGAGAATATGGAGACAGAGACTAGACTTGACCAATATATTGAAAAATGACTTGTTGCAAAACCAGTGTCATAGTTCCATACTGGTCTATGAATCTCATTGGAATATATATTTGGCTCAAAAATATTTGCTATCTCCAGCTTTTGTGTGTACTTATTAAAACATATTTTAAGGGAGGTATTAATATTCATGTGTTTGGGATTGGCAATTGTTACATTTAGATTTTTTTGCACATATTTATGAATTATTTCTAATTTCTAAAACATAAATATGCCAATATTGGTCAATTTTTGTGGTAAGGGTTTGCTTTTTTCATTAAAATGCTTTAAATGAGAATGGGGGGATTTGATTTAAGATAACTCATTTAAGCTGTTCATTTATTTATTTACCAACCAATGTGCAGTAAAAAGTACAGACAGCGCCTGTTGAAATAATTCCACCCCACAGATCCAAATCAGTAACTGGAGAGAGACAGAGAATGCAGCTTCATGACACACAAAGTCACACAAAA